AGCAGGCCCCGAGTCTTTCAGAGAAACCCTCCGGTAAAAATCAGCACCTTCTGTTCCTGTTTGGTCAGAGCTCGGGAGAAACGCCTAGCACAGCATGGGAGCTATGGCAAGCTGGATCTGGCTGACAGTTTGGATTCTACTGAGCTAAGAACAGAAGGAAGCGTTCAGTAAGATTATACAATCATTAAAAGGGGTTTTGTTGGATTAAACTCTGCCCCAACAATATCCCCAGTGCTTACTACGGCCAGGATTTCTTCACGAGAACTTTAAACGTCAGCTTTATTGATTCAGTGGACACAGTCAAAGCTCATAAATCACATCTGAGGGCTGATTTTTCCCACCCATTTTTATGCAAAGTCCATCCATATATATTTTTCATGTCTCAACGTCCTTCCTACCCATAGATCTTAAGTACGCAAAAGCGTTCCACCAGCAACGTGGCCACCAGAGAGCCGCACAAATGCAGGTGCGGAGTCGCTCACCCAGAGGCATCCGGACGGAGGGTCGGAATCTGTAGTTGTGGTCCAGTGAAATCCACTGCTGCACAAGATACAGGAAAAGATAAGGAAGGGCACTTAATTTTCAGATTTTTTTCAGATCTTGTTACTTCAGCAGTCACATGGTGAAATAAATAATTAGATTTCTTTATTTTTCTTATTTTTCTGGTGTTGAAGTCCCCTTACATTTTGATTTGCTTGCAATCTCATTGCTGTGGTGTGTTATAAACCACTGGCTTAAAATTTTTTTATAATCTGCTGTGCACTTCAGCTGATGTTTGAAGAGTAAAGAGCATAAAGCTTGTGGGAGACCAATAAGAGTGAAGATCACAGCAGGTGCATGATCTGAAAAGAAAAAATGTCCAGAAGGACTGAGAAAGATGAGATGGCCAAAGACAAGGGAATAAACACTATAAATGATATTTAGCACTTTTGTGCTCGTGAGATAGGAAAAGGCTTATGAACAAACACACACTTTGTTGAGGTCAGTAAAGGGATCTGCAGAACTTGGCACAATTCCTAATCTTACTCCCTTTTTTTTTTTTTAATTTTGTGCCTTGCAGAATGCAGCATTTAATGCTGAACAAACCCAGTTTCGGCAGGTTGAGCCTGCCCAGCCAGCTGAGCAAGACATGTACCTCATAGCAGAATGCTTAAGCCACCAATACACACACAAGTCCTGCGAGAAAGTTTTCTGTCATCCATGGGAACGATGTGTGGAGGGAAAATGCCTTTGTAAACTTCCCTACCAGTGCCCAAGGAACGGCTCTTCAGTTTGTTCTACCAACGGAAAGTACTTCCATACTTACTGTCACCTAAAGAGCTATGAGTGTCAACGTCCTGAAGCAAAGTTTCTGCACAAGGGAAAATGCGTGTCTGAAGGTATTAACACCTCCTTTTTCCAAAATGTATCGGTTGGTCATTGGTGGCCAAGGAGGTGCTTACTATTTACCACTCAGAAAGTCTGTTCATTTCCTTGTACTAGTAAGAACGTGAAACAGAAAATGAGAAGTCATTAAAAGTGGGCACCGAGCTGCTTTTTTGGCTCAACCTCCGGCTGAGTACCGGGAGCGATGGCTCCTGCTAGCTAGGCAGGTGGCCTCTCTTAGCAGTCGCAGTCACTGTTCCTGCCCATCCTCCAGCCCCAGCGACACCGAACCCAGCAGAAGCAGCAAGCCGGGCACAGGGCCTCCCTGCCCGACCTCTCCCCCAGCACCATCCCTCCCTTTCCCAGCAGAAACAGCAGCTCAGCCCGTCACCCTCTGGGTGGAAAAGTGCCATTCTGCCTGTTACACTGAAAAGGGTCGGACCCTCCGTGTGTTCCTGATGCGCTCCCTATATGGCTTCACTAAATTAAGCTGAGGACCTTAGCTCCACTGCAGACAGCGGAAGTTTTGCTACACAGGTAACAGAAGCAGGATCTGGCCATCACACCACACCTGAGGTGTTACT